TGGCTGATGGTCATACCACTTTTCGGTACATTCTATCCCATACTTTCTGTACATCTCCCAGTGTTGCGTTTCCTGTATTCTCTTTGGGCAAGCTTCTTGCATCCACTGATAATGTGCTGAACAGTTTCAGTATAGCCTCCACACAATCTACACCCTGGTGTCTCTGAAGCCTTATCCATGAATATGGCACCATGTCATATGTTTTCTTGTAGTCTATCCAAGCCATTGAGAAGTTTGTCAACCTTCTCCTGCAATTCTTTGAGATTGCCTTGTATACAAGCAACTGATCTTTCGTTCCTCGTGATCCCTTTCTGCATCCCTTCTGCTCATCTGCTAGCAGTCCATTCCTCTCTAGGTGCTGGTACAGCTTCTCTCCCATGATTCCAGTTAGTAGCTTCTACATTATGGGTGGGCAAGCGATAGGACGGTAGTTGCTAGCCTGGGTGCCTTTCATTCGGTCTCTCTGAATTAATGCTGTTCTTCCCTTAACCATCCACTCTGGTACATTTCCTTGGCACACACAGTCTTGCAGGTGCAGTAGCAATCTAGGGTGTAATCCTGGCAGCTTCTTAAACCAGTAGCCCTGGACTAGGTCAGGGCCACCTGCCTTCCAATTTGCCATCTTACTGCAGTTCTAATATCCTCTATGGTGACTGCGATATTCTCTTGTACCCTTATTGTAAGGAGCTCCTGCTTCTACCTCCGACCAGATTTTTCTCTAGAAGGTGGTTCCTTCAGTTGGGTCAGGTTGTTCCATCCCTTCTCTTTTCTTTCCATCAAGCATTTCATAGAAAAGTTTCTGGTTAAAACGAAATTAATTTTGTCTGCACTGTTGGCATCTCTCGTCATTCTCTTACTTCCACCTGCCTTGATCTTCTGCTTCAACATTTCTGAGACGTACAAAGTGCCACTCGCCTTATGGTGGTATTTTCTATTCAATTGTTCCCTTTCTCTTCCAGAATGTTTCTTCGGTCCTTTTTTCTTTTCTCTTCTTCAACATTCCCATTTTTTCTCTGGTGACATAATCAGCTGCATACATTAAAGATATATGTTATGTAAGTTTGAATGCTCTTGGTTGCTTCATTGACATTTCCAATCTCTGCTCTTCGCTTTGCTCTATCACATGTTCTCAGCGATAGTAATCTTGCTCTCTCTTCTAGAAGCATCACTTCTAGTATCCTGTTTTGAAGAGCAATAAGCTCTAGGCTGATCTCTTGTGGCTCTAGATCATCGGTCATAGTAGAATCCTCTTCAGCAGGGGTGTTTGATATCTCTGTAGCATTATAGTCAGTCTCCTGATGTTCATTTCTTACTCTCAGCACTATTTCCTCTTATTCCACTGACTCTAGCCACTTCTTGATCTGGCGAACTTGATTAGCCAGTCTTTGCTTACTAACTTCTTTCAGCTCTTCGTTGGTTTCGAGTTATCTACAGATCTATCATTCTCTTTCTGTGTCCCCATCTTTCCGGTCCACTCCTTATGTAACATTCAAACAACTGTTTGTATTCCTCCTTCGGCCATCCTAATCTCTTCTGTCGTTGATCAGCAGTATCGGGATGACGACCGGGTCTGCGCTGTTGATCCCACAAGACACCTGCTCTTACTATTACCATTATTATCATTATTATTATCATTATTGATATCATTATCATCATTATGACCATTATTATCATTATGACCATTATCATTTTAATCATCATTATTATTATTTTTTATTACCATTGTTATTATCATCATTATCAATATTATCATGATCATTAGCAACACAGCTATCATCCGCATTATTGCCCTACCATTACCATTCCTACACCTACTAAAGGTGCTACTACTGCTACTACAGCTATTGATATTACTACTACAACTGCTACTACAAGTATTATTGCTATTACTATCAATGTCCCCATAATAATTGTTATTATTATCAGTATTCTTTATAATTATTGTTATTACTACTACTATTATCATAATCATTTATAGACATCATTACTTTGATTATAGTTTTTTAGCCTTGTTAATATTATTGTATTGAATAGTAGTATCATTATTATCATTATCATTATTGTTATTGCTATTATTTTTGGTTGTCGATTTTCTGATTTACAAAAATCATTATTATTATCATAATGATAATAATCGTCCTTGTTATTATCATAATTATTATTACTATTATTATCATTATTAGTTTTTTATCATTATCATCATTGTAATCATTATCATTATTACCGTTAATATTATTTATCATTATTATTATTTTTATTTATTACTGCTATTAAAATAAGAAGAATCAATATTATTATTATCATCATCATTATTATCAGTATTAGTATCATTATGACTGCTGTAGTTATCATTATTATTATCTCCGCCGAGGAGGTTATATTGTTGGTAGTGTTGGTTAGATAGATTTCCCCCAGAGGCGCATCTTAGCCCAACTTAGATGCCATTAAATTTCGGTGATGATCCTGATCCGAAATCTGCACAAGATACCTCAAAAAGTTATGGATAGATTTTAATGAAATGTTTACCAGAGGTGTATCGTATCCCAGCTTAGAAGGTGACTCGGATTATGGTCCGGATCCAGGAGTTTTTTAAATGATTGATTACCATTGCGAGATAGGGAAACGCGGACGTCACCTGTGAGCTTAAGAAAGAGGTGTTTTTAATGTGTTTCTTCAAGTGTGGATGGATATTTTTATTGCATCAGTGACGCTATTGCCTTGGTAAAGGTGTGCGCTCTCTGAGTGCTTTTAGTTATCAATATTACTCTTGTCGTTATCACTATTGTTATCAGTATCCTCATCATCTTCAACTTCATCATTATCATCATTATTGTTACTATTACTTTTACCATTCCTACTACTACAACCGCCACTATCAATTATATTATTCGTATTCAATCATCATCATTATTGTTATGTTCTGTCATTTGTAAGAACCTTATAATTATTTTCATAATATTTTTTATCACTATTACTCTCATTGTTACTGTGATTGTTATTAACATTATTATATATATATTGTTATTACTATTTTTCATGTCATTATCATTATTTTCACTGTGAATATTGTTATATTTGTTGTTACCATTTTCATTATCATTATGATGACTCTTGTCATTATTATGATTGTTATTATTTTGATCATTATTACTATACCATTATTATCATTATTATTGTTGTTATTATTACTTTCATTATTGTAATTACTATTATTTTTATTATTACTCTTACTACTATAATTATTATCACCATCATCATCATCACCATTATCACTGTCATCATCGTACTTACTATTATATTTCTTTCTTTTTTTTAATTATCATTACTTTTACTATTATTGCTTTCGTTATGATTGTTGTTATCATTATTATGGTTTCGATTTTCATTATTACTTTTGTTATTGCTGTTATTTGTTATTATGTTATCAGTATTATTATTGTTATTATTACTGTTTACTATATTGTTTATTATCATTATTATTATTTGTCATTATTATTATTATCATTATTATCACTATCATTATTATATTATATTATTATTATTATTATTATTATTATTATTATTATTATTATTATTATTATTATTATTATTATTATTATTATTATCATTATTTATCATTTTCATTATCATCATTACATTATAATCATTGTCATGATAATTATTATCATTATCATCATTATTATCCCTATTATTAGTATTAGTATCATTATTATGATTATGATTATCATTTTTGTTATTACCATTATTATCATTACTACTATTTTAGTTAGACGCAGTAGAACCATTATTACTATAATTATTTTTGTTATTAACTTTATTATTACTATTATCATTATCATTATTAATTCTATTCAATTTTATAACTTTTCAACATCACCATCGTCATCATTATTATTATTACCATTATTATCATTATTATTTTTTATTTATTATTATTATTATTTTCAATATCATAATTATTATTGTTATTATCATTATCATCATCTATATTACTTTTATTATCAGTATCATTATTATCATTATTATAATCATTATTACTATTATAATTATTGGTATCATTACTAGTATTATTAACCTTTATTTTTATCATCATTTTTAGTATCTATTATTATTATTATTACTATTTTTATCTTTACTATTATCATTATTATTGAAATCATCATCATTATTATTACTATTATTATTTTTGTTATTATTACTATTACCATTATTATCAATTTTAGTATTATCATTAATATTATAATTCTTTTACATTGTCATTATCAATATCAATATAATCTTTATTATTGTAACTACTAGTACTTCATCATCATTAATAGTAGAGGTAGTATTGGTATTACCATTACTAATGTTATTATTATTCCTACCTTTGTTTTTATCAGTATTACCATTATCATTTTTCTTACTATTGTTAGTTTTACTTATATTATATTTTATCATTATCATTATCATTATTTTTTTATCGCTATCATTGTTATCATTGTTGGTATCATAATCATTGTTATTATTATCATAATTATATTGCAATTGATATTATCATTATCATCATTATTATCATCTTTATCAATATTTTTTATTACATTACAATTGATGTTATAATCATTATTAATCTTAATTCTGTTATTATTTCTATTTTTATCATTACTTTTATTCTCATTATTGTTTTCATTATCTTTTGTATTGTTATCATTATCATTATCATTACTATCTCTATTTTTATTTTTATTATTATAATCATCATCATCATCATTATCATTGTTATTATCATTGTTATCATTATTAGCGTCATTATTTGTATTATATTCAGAATTGTTACTATTATCAATATTATCATCGGTATTCTTATTATTATTATGATCATTATTAGCATGTTTATTATCATTGTCATTATAAACATTATTATTATCATTATTGTTATTATTATCAGTATTATCATTATTACTATTATCATTATCATTATCATCATCACCATTATTATCATTGTCCTTGTTATTGTTATT